TCCCATATAACGGTAATTTTGCAGAAATACGAAAACTGCGATATTTTAGTAACTCAAAATTGACATTTACAATAAGTTTTAGACAAAAAGTAAGAACATTATTCATTTTTGGAAAATGGGCGTAGCCGCGCCCACTTATGTTTACATGTGTATACCTTGGTAACCGCTACACCAATTACTTCCAAACTTGGCACAGTTGCTGGCCTTGGTACAACATACCAAATGGCCGAAAATTTAAAAAATCGGGCAATAACCACGCCCACATCCCAAATAACGGTAATTTAGAGAAATAGGAAATCTTCGATAAATCAGTAAATATTAAAGCTAATTTATTAAAAATGAATGCTTTCAACAACTCTTTATCAAGAAATACGTCTATGATAAAATTTTGGAAAATGGGCGTGGCAGCGTCCACTTATGATCACATATATGTATCTCAGTAACTGTTGTACCAATTTATACCAAACTTGGTATGGTTATTGTGCTTGCCACATAGAAGCAAAGCGTTGAAAATTATTGAAATCGGACTCAAATTACGGCCGCTTTCATATAACGGTAAATTTCAGAAATGCCTGAAACTTCAATATTTCGAAATTTAAGGACGTTAATTCCCTGCAAAAATCGTGGGGCCATGTAGTCTATTTGTGGTAAATTGGAGTACTTACAAAAGTGTTCCTCTGTCATGCTGTAGCGGACCAACTCGTGTCTCTGCGCCAGCCTATTGTTTGTTATCCTATCACTGCTCGTGTTTTAACGAAATGTGATTGAAATTCAGCATTTGAAAGCACATTTGCATGTCTGGCTGTAGCTGAACGTGTAGAGATGCTCGCTGTTAGTTCTTAGCTCCCAGCATGTTCGGGTTCGAATACCGTCAGAGGCAACATGTAATTTTTAATTTTTNGCAGCTCAGATAGGTCGATATTGAGCCATTTGCTGAGATAGGGCGTTGTTCAATCAAATTCTGAGGCAGGGCGTTTTCGGAGGGGCAGCTGAGATAGGGCGTTTTTGAATAAAATTCTGAGATAGGGCTTTGTTCAACTAACTTCTGAAATAGGGCGTTGTTCAATCAAATTCTGAGAAAGGGCGTTTTTGAAGAGGCAGCTGGGATAGGGCGTTTTTGAACCGAATTCTGGCGTTCTTCAATAAAATTGTGAGATAGGGCGTTCTTCAACTAAATTCTGAAATAGAGCTTTGTTCAAAAATTTTCTGAAATAGGGCGTTTTCGAACTGGCTGCCGAGATAGGTCGATCTTCCACTCAGCCATCGATATACTCCATCCCGGCATTACATCAGAGTACCACAAAACTACTCCAACATATAAACAATGGCATTGTTGTTATATTTTTTCGTTTGTACACGCTTTTGNTCGCCATTTTTGCAGGGTTTACTCAAAATTGATACACTCGGCTTACCATGTAGCGGTAGCTTTCGAAAAGGCTTAAAACATACCGGGTATTTAATGTTCGGCTCCGTCCGAACTTAGACTTCTTACTTGTTTTTTCTTTTTCTTTTATACATGTTACCGCATAACTTTGGACCACGTCGATCGATTTCAATCATTCTTTTTCCATCGGAAAGGTAGTACTCACAGGTGGTCCCATATTAATTTCGTTTAGATCCGATCATTGGATCGGTTGTGTTTTTTGTTTAAAAATTACTTGTTTATATTAGTATTTATGACTCTCTTAATTTTAAATAATATAAACATAATTTTCACGCTGGCAATGCTGTGTATCATGAAAAAGCGCTTGCGCTTTCAAGCACATAAACGCGACAACAATAACAACCACATTGAATGACATACATTCGAGAGAATCGAAACGGCTGACAAGAAAGAGCCTGTGTTTACCCGTGCTCCCTCTTATGTCAAAGCGGCGGCCAGCAGCATTGTGTTGCAACAGTAGCGACAGCGACAACAACAGCCACACATTGGCAGCGGCCGACCGCGGCGAACAAGACGAAACGTCAGAAATAGGCAAACGAAGCGAGCAAAGAAAACCTGAGAATAACCCAAATGGGCAGTTTGTAGTTATTGTGCTGCGGCGAGCGATGGAAATGGGAACAAATTTCGTGTGTGTTTTGTTGTGCGATAAAATAAGCAGATTTTTATAAACAAAATACAAAAATCTAGTGAATAAATAAAAAGAAATTTTGTGAAAAACGTGAAGCTAGTGAATTGCTAATGCAAAGACATAAATGTAGCATGTGAAAAAGCAGTGAAAATTTGTGCCGAAGAAAAAGTGGAAATCACTTTGCTACATGCAGCACCAGATGAATGTATGTACATAAGTGAATGAAAATACTACATAAAGGCGCATACAGACTATGTATGTACATATGCAGGTATATGTGTATATATGTACATAGCACCAAATTGAGATGTGCATATTTGTGTGTAATGTATATGTTTGAATACATGCATACATATGTACGTACATAAGTGCGGGCTTACAGTACGGCGCACACATTTTATGGGGCGGAGGAAAAATCTGCAGTAGGCGCAGCCAACAGTAGGCAATGCAGCCTAGCGATGCATTCGTTCGTTCATTCTGTGTAGGGGAAATAAAGTGAGCAGTGATGGCTGAGACGCGAACGCGGCGGCAGCGTCTATGTCTTTGGCGCCAGCGTCGGCAGCATTAGCAAAACTATATAGAATCTAAAAAGCAGAAGGCAAAAGGCATGAGAAGAACAAGCAATAATGGCAGACGCGGCAGTGATGGCAAAAATAGCAATTACGAAAGACATGTGAAAAGGTATATGGAAAAGCAGAGAGTGTATTTTGTTTGTATTTTGCCAGTCGCGCGCTCTCGCGCTCCACAACTGTCAAATAATAGCTGCCGCCAGTGCTGCCAGAAAAAACTTTCGTTTGGAGCTAAATCGGTCGAAAAAAAAACTAAAAAGAGCTAAATAATAGCTCGGATCCAGTACTCCATGAACTTACAGGTTTTTACACGAACTTGTAGGAAGTTACAGGAAAAATGATCCCGTATTCCAAATTCCTCCAAAATCCTGTAAATGAGAGCGATTTTTGGAGAGTTATGTAGAGAATGAAGTTGCAAGATTTTACCCGAACTTTTTCTTCTGGTAAAATCATGAAAAGTGTCTAGCGATCACTGGATGACGTTTTTACAGGAAAAATGTTTTTTTTTTGTTCCCATACTTTTTGTTGTTACTCACTTTTTACTCTCACGTCAGAGAGTAATTTTGCTGTTTGACATTTTTACAGGATTTTACACGAAAAGTATTGGATAAGAGCTAATACTTATAGAAGGTCGGTGTTATGCAGACAAACTTTTGTTTGCCAAATTAAATGGCGCCTGCTTAGTTTGCTCGGAGGTGGTTATGTCGAGTTTGGCACAGGGTTGCACGTTCATTATGGTTTTCATGGCTATTGCCAACACGAAAAGAGAATTTCAGATGTACATAACGCGCACAATTTAAAATTTTTGTATATGACAACACCGAATTTGCTGCAGTTTGACCAAACAAAATTAGTTTGCTGTGAGAGTCGCCAAACTCGCTCTCTCCGAGTTTGCTGCAACAACAATTGCACGCAGTTTGCCAAACAAAATTTCTGCATAACACCAACCTAAGCTGAAAAAAAGAGCTAAATTTTTTTTGAAGGTGAGCAGTTATTGACGTATACTTGCTTTTACATTTTCCGCAATTTTACTAAAACTTAACGAATTTTATAAAGAGTGCTGAAAAGAACTTTTACAGCGAAAACGAGGTACATATGCACATTTCGAATTATTTGCTACGGCACTTACATATAGCACTTATATGTATGCATATACTTATACATATAAGCTAGACGATGAACTAAAAATACTTTACAAACTGTTAAAATCTGCAATTTCATATATTTGAATTGACCATAAAAACTCGGGTTATGAATCATTTTTTCGCAAAAGTTTTCTAAAATTTTTTATTGCCTTCTCTCCTTAAGGTAAAATTAGTTATGGTAAAGACAAGACCCGCGCGTTCAGAAAAAGGATTTTCTTCTAATTAATTTTTGAATTCTTTAACCTAGATCCAAGAGTTTATGGTGGAGTCTGTAGTTTCCCGTGAATACAAATGTATGTTTTTCCACTGAATTTCGAAATTTGTTATTTTATCGACGCTTAAGTCTTGGCTTTCCTTTTCTACCATGGCCGCGAGAGAGAGAATGCACCGTCTGAGCTCATCGGAGCTCGAATTACTGCCCGGTATAGTTTGTGTGCTCCCGCGAACGTGCTATAAACTAATCGACTTGCCCATTTTCCATTTGCTTACGCGCCAGTTGCATTAGGAATGGAACTTTTTTAAGTATTAGTCGAAATAGAATAACATGAAGGTATAGAAAGAAATTAGAGATTTTTAATTTTAATATATTACCAAATACAACTGAAACTTTCTGGAGCTAAAAAATGCTAGATAATTTTGAAAAGAGTTAAAAAAAGAGCTAGGAGCTAAATCCCAATTTTCGGAGCTACATTGAAAAATAAAGCTAAATCTAGGTTCAAAGCACCGAAATGGCAACACTGGATGCCGCGTGTAGAAGAAAATGAAAACAAAACAACATAAAAAATTGCAGTTGCATTAAACTGGGAGAAATAGAGTGGGAATGGGAGATAGAAAGAGCGCGAGTTTGAATAGTGCAGGGAGAGCGTCTGCATGGAATGCATTTTCAAACCCACACTAATACATACGTACCTGTATAACCACAAGTGCACTGTTGAATGGATGGCAAACGGCCGACACGACAACTCTTGGCCCTAATAATAGTGGTCGAGCATAAAGCCCAATTGGTAGTGAACTGTAAGTTGGTTGTACGGATCGTGGAACGTGAAAACGCAGCGGAACAGCAAAATCGATGGCCGAACGCAGTTGAACGATGCACTGATGTACATAAGTGTTGGTGTGATTTAACTCCGCCGCTCTGAGTCGTTACTGTGGATTCCTTCGTCAGTAAACCAGCAGTGTATGCACGTAGGCATGTAAATATGTACGTACCTATTCTGCTGTAGTTGGCCGCCTATGCCTTGCCTTTACGATAAACTAACTCGCTGCATCACGACGGCTTAGTGCCCATCTACAAAGAACTTTCGCGTTGCGTTCGATTTCGCGTTAGTTATTATCGTTTGTCTCTGGGTGAGAGTCGCGTTGCAAAAACTGCTTGCTCGTATTAGTTGGCAAATAACTATTTGGTGGAATGTTGTCTTAAGTTAGTTAGAAGTCTACAAAATGCAATATTTATAACACAAACTGTGCGGACCACCACGGGAGTGTATGTATGTGTATAGTGTAAAAAGGAAAGGAAGTGCAAGAGTAAAGTGAAAGCAATATGAATTAGTGGTGAAGAACTCTTATTTGAATGAATTATCAGGGAAAACACACAGGTTGTGCCCTAAAAAAAATTCGGAAGTACCAAAAATGAGAAGTAAAATATTCAGTCACTGAAATTTGTATGCTCCCATTAAAAATTTGTATGCAAGTGATAGCTGATTTTGATTACCACATACATACATATCTAAGTAGGTATGTAAGTCTTCTTAGTGCAAGTGGGTTTGTGAATATCTTTGGAAAAGAATGAAAAAAATGTTGAAAATTTTAATTCAATTAAAAACAAGTTAAGTTAGGAGAAATAATACCACATCAAGTGTTTAATAAGTTTTAACTACGAAAACAAAGCCTACAGAATTCGGATTACATCGGAAATTCGATATCAAGTACCTACATATTTGAGGGGTTTACACACTAATTGATGCTTTAAATTAAGTAATATTTGACCTAATTTTATGGAAATCCAGACGAAGTCTCTCGCCGATAACCGTGATGAAGCATGGACCCACTACTAAGCAGCTGAGAGCTGAAGGCTGTCCAAGCGCGAAGTATTAAGAAACGGGCTGGAGTTCCTTAAAAAAGGCGAATATTTGTCCACTGACTAGCGGTTTATGGCAAACTTTTGGAAAATCTTCGGTTGTATGTACAATAGTTTTGTGATTTGGGGTGGTGGGGTGGGGTTATGGCACTTATAACCCCACCTATTAGAAAGAGCACGGTCCAAGCTTTAAGACAATTCCCCTCTTTAGCCCCTTGGAGACCCGTTCGGAAGTGGGGTAAGCATTTTTAGGATAGCCTATTTTTGAAAGTATCGATACTGAGCACTCCATAGTACTTAGTACACGCAAAATAACTCGAAAGTATTCAGAACTGAAAACAACTCGAAATTAATTAAGTAGTCCTCAAAAACACTCTGTTCCAATCATCACTCTGATACATGTACTTGAAAGTACTCAGTATTAAGTTTCGAATAGATACTTAAAAATACATAGTTTTATTTACATTTACTGGTATTCGAAAATCATTGTACTCTATTTCAAGATTTAATAATTTTCCAGTACAATACTTGTACCCAGTTTTGCTAGCCATTCCTTTGACTTAATTTGAGATTAATATATTAATTTGAATAAAGTGCTATCAGTTCGTGAGATTTCTACATTAATCACTTAAATGTTACCAATATGTATATACGAGTATTTAAAGCAAGTACTCAGTGTTTTCAAAAATACCCGAGCCTTGAAAGTATCGATACTTCCCGACGCTAGACGCGGGTTAGGCGAAATACCTTCACGCGTTGATGGCCTTCGGGTACGCTTAGAAAAAATAACCCTCATCAGTCCAACTCCGGCTATGCCATCCATGGTATTTTTGCGCAGAACCAACCACGAAATTCACAAAAAAGTGCATATTTCAAAACGAATTTACTAATAAATTAGTGCTCGGGTCCAGGGTTTGGTAACAATAACCCAAAATTATTGTACAATTAAGCGAACCGTACCTAAGCATTTTTTTGTCTTCCCGGACTATCCGCAAAACGGAAAAATGACAAAAGTCCATTTTTATTAGGTGTTTTTGGAGCGATTGATCGATCAGAGTCAAAAGCTGAGAGCTTTGGGCAGGTCCAAGTTTTGCTGTTGAATCAGCAAAGCGTGTGCAAAATTTCAGCCCAATCAAACGATATCTTCTATAGGCAGAAAAAAGTATCGGCGCATTGTCATCTCAAATACGATCCACACTTGAAATGGTCTAAAAATCGTTTTAATCTTTGTATCCATATACAGAGAAGCTTTTAATTCCTAAGTAAAATGATCTTAAAATTGTTCAGAGTACCGTAGTCCACTGGATTAAAGGCAGGCCCGTCTTTATGGTAGGCCAACCACATGCAGAAGTTCCCAAAGATGACAGCCTTTGTACTGAAAAATATATTTTTTTTTTTACTGCAAGCTTCCTTGCCTTATCTGATGTGGAGTTTATGGAAATCAGTTTAATCATGTGGAAGAAAGAAATCAATCTCAAAGGCGCACCAATACTTACGCTGAAATCTGTTCAATGTAGGGCGTCGATTCTCACTCTGAGAAAAAATATTGAAGCGAGTTTTGCCTCCGTACATTCAAACATACACAGCGATATGCAGAAGGCTTCCTTGCGAACTTCGAAGTCCATAGATACCGAAGCTCCGATCTCCCGTCGTGGATGACCTCTTAACCAAACTACAGTAAAGTGGTTACGATGCTGTTGGTTTTGTGGACGACCTCGTAATTATTGTGACGGCATTGTATCAGACGTAATGAGTGCAGATCTGCGCGTGGTATCATACTAGTGTGGAAATGAGGACCTCAACATAAACTTATTTACAAGAGGGTACAAGCTGAACAGTGGTTCAGTTACCCTTAAGGCCACCCGAGCCATGTGGGCCTGTCGAAGACTTTTTGGTTGAACATGGGGTCTAAACTCTAAACTAGTAGAATGTCTATACCGAACTATAGTTCGCCCGATTGCAACTTATGCCTCCATGGTGCACAAAAACGCCGCAAAAAAACTAATGTCTCATGTCTAAATAAACTCCAAAGAATGGCTATACTGTCGGCGACAGGAGCAATGAGAACATGTTCAACTGCGGCATTAGAGTCGCTCCTAGATCAGACCCAGCCACATTTTTGTCCAAGCAGAAAAAGTGCTCTTAAAAACAAGGTATTTTGAGCATAATACCAGGTCTAGGAATTTACGAGTTCTCCGATGCTATGCCAAAGGAAATGAGATTTGCACTGGTACACAGACGGATCAAAGTGGACGGCAGAAGAGGAGCAAATGACTTTGGACCTGGAACCAAACATTCCATTGCAATGCGTACTTGGTCCACGGTCTTTCCGTCCGAGGTACTAGAAATCTCAATTTGTGCCGGTCTGAACATTGAGAATTGTTTAAAAGGCCCGTTTCTAGTTATCTCTTTAGATAGCCAGGCGGCTATAAGATCCGTTTCTAATAGGAAGCTCGTCAAGGAGTGCTTTGACACTAACCAACTCTTGGCAGCAAGCAGCATGGTATTACTATTCTGGGTACCAGGACCCTACGGGATCGTGGATATTGTGGCCGCCGATGAATTGTCAAGGGAAGGCTCATCGTATGCTCTTGTGTTAAGTTAAGAATGCACTAAGTACTGGAAAGAGGTAAGGTGCCTTAGAGAGACCAAACTTTTTGGTTATCATTTCGCTAGGAAAGATATACTTCTTCTGAATAGAGCCGATATCAAGTTGCTTGTTGGCTACTTGACGGGCCATAATCACTCTCACACAGAGACGGATTGCCGTCATTGCTTTGAAGACGAGGAGACGTCTGAGCACATTATGTGTGACGTGTCAGGCATTGGCCAGATTAAGATTGCAATACTTCAGTTCCCCCACAGCCGATGGGAATGTTGGGATGGTTAGGAATTCGTCTACCAAGAAACGTTTAGCTTTTATAAGGGAGGCTAGTAACATCCGGGCCGTCAGTGGTAGGAACCATTGTAGGGTTAAAAAAAGATCTTCTTAGTCGCGGTGTCCCTTGTTCTGTTACGCTTCCTAGAACTGAAAGACTATTTGACTAGGTGATATTAAGAGTTCGATAAGGAGAAAAATCAAAGTTGAAACAAGCAATTTTTAAGCAAAAAACAAAACCGACTTCAATTCTTATATACAAATTTAAGGTCGTCATTAATTTCTTCATCATCCTATGATCGGATTTAAACCTTAAAGGTTCCTTCGAAAAACTACGTTTTGGAACTATCAACAATAGCTCGGAGGTGATAATTCTTGAACTATTTATGAGCGTTATAAAATCAATTCCAATTCAAGTTTAGTGTCTTTAACAAGTAAACAAAAATATGGAATAAAATACGAGAAATAAAAAAATTAAATGTGTATGTGTGCCAAAAATTGCTGTGGAAGTTGGAAAGTAAGCAAAAACAGTTTGTGAATAAAACGTGAACGAAAAATTTGCAAAAGCGCAGAATGTAAGCTACAAATATATACTTATGTACCTATGTAAAAAAAAATAAAAATAAAATAATTTATGTAAAAAGCACCGCCGAAAAAATTAAGCAACGTCGCCGCTGATCGCCGAATATATTTTTGTTTCATTTTCTCGTTTTTCCCCTCTTCTTTACGCTTTTGACGTACGCGTGTTGAATTTTTTGTGTGCTTTTAGTGATTGTGAATTCACGATGCGTTTTTGCTGTTTTCAGCGCAAAACGGTGGAAAAAAATAAGAAAGGAAACAAAAAATATTAAGAAAGTAACAACTAGCATACTTATGTATGTATGTATGGTGTTTTATTCGTTTGTAATCGCCTGCACATGTGCCTTAGACCCCAAGCCGCGCCAGTCGTCTCCGCGACGACAGCACTGTCTCGCACGCACATCACAACAATAACAACAACAAGGGAATGAGCGAACGAACGCACGAACAAAACATCAATAAAATGCAGCTCAACATAAACGAACAGACATTTTAGCAACCACAACCACTACGCGAGACAACGCAACCAAACAGAGTGCAGTAATAGCATTTTATTCGTCGTAAGAGTTACTGAAGTCACTGTCGCCGACAATGCCACCGCCACTGTCGGTGTTACCATCTTTCTCAGCTATGAGCGTCATACATACATATTTAGTACATACAGTGGGCGACGAAAGTGTATATACGGCCCCTATTGCTATAGTTTAGAAAGTCGAAAAGTATTATGGAAAAAACTTAAGGTTTATTACTACTACATTCGGGTGATGCACAAGATGTCATAAAAAGTCATAATGTCATACATTTTATGAAGGTTAAAAATATTTTTGAGTGATTCATGGCAACCGCAAGACAGTTTTAAACATTTTAAAATTTATTACTATTTTGATTCACCCTGTCATTCAATTATTTTTAAAATCTCTACTTAAAGTATAGTCTCAGAAAATTATTCGTATTTATGAGAAACGGAAAGAACCTTAAGACGACAGTCAGCGTACTGTCAGAATGGCATATGTATATACATAGGTTTTACTGCTATCCCTAAATTGGCGCGTCATGCGCTAAAGAACAGTCCGAAGTCCTCAAGCCCATACAATTTGAATGAAGTATCGCACAATAACGCGGCGCTGGCGCTGAGCAGATGGAACTTTAATTTTTGACAGGGCTTTACGTTTGTAAGTTGAGTGGAGAAGACAGAAAGAAAGAGACAGTACAAAAAAGCTAAATAGGAAAGGAGAATAACAACGAGAGAAAATGAGAAAAAATTAAAAATTTCGGCGATTTTATATGGGTTTAGCGCGCTCTGACACTAATTGTTGTTAGACAGCAAAAGTGCCAACTTAACTTAAATCTATAATAAAAATCATATTTTTGTTTTATTTAAAAAGTGTTGCTTGTAATATTCGGTAAAAATTATCCAGCAGCAAAAATACTGAGAATTAATCAAATTTCGTACTCAAAGTGAAAAAACATATCCAGAAGTCGAAAACGCAGCAGTGACCGAAAATAAAATGTAATGTCGAGAACGTCACCGCAAAAGAACCAAACGGGAACAAAAGTATTGAAAACAATTTGAGCGGGAACAAAATGAGAACAAAAGGTTCGGGAACGTTCTCAAAAAGAAAAAAATGCGAAAACAATATTCTCACGGGAACAAAAGTATTGAAAGCAGTTTGAGCGGGAACAAAATGAGAACAAACGGTTCGGGAACGTTCTCGATAAGAAAAAAATGGTAACGTATCCAAGAAGAATCAAGTAAGAAGAAAAGACTTGGGACCATTCTGTTAGAGAACAAATCGAGAACAAAAGATTTGGGAATTTAACGTTAAGAATGAGAGGGGCGTCTGCGTGTTGGGATGAAAAATCGTTGCAGTGAGAACCATGTTTGTTAATCCTAAGACAGAGGAAAGCTGGCTCATTACAACTTCCACAACGTTTATCATTACGGTGAACTGTCAATGTATGGATCAATTTTTGAAGAAAAGTTCATGTCTCAAGGCTTTCTTTGACTTAATTTGCATAATAATCTTTCATTTTTTTTTGATTAATTTTAATATTCAAACATTTCAAACAAATGCCACCCTATGAGTAAAATTTTGTTCTCGCTTTCATTCTTCGCGAATAGTGCAGAGAAGATTTGTTCCCGTTTCGTTCTTTGTCAGAACGTTCCTGAGGCTTTTGTTCTTAAATTGTTCTTCGAGAGAAGGCTCCTTAGACTTTTGTCTAGTTTTCGCAATTAAAAAATTTTTCAGCAAAATTGTGCAACTTTCACTAACGCCTTGGTTATAACGCTCGTGACAAATCTTAAAACAACAAATTCGTAAGGTTTTATTGATTTTATATTTCTCCATTTTACGTTACGTTTGCGTGCATTATAACCAATGGGAGCTATAAGTTCGATGTATTGTGGAACGATTGTCCATCATCCCTTGTCAAATTTGGTTTGGAGACAAACCGCTTTCGGCGTTGTGCCATCTTCAGTGTAATTTTTCGTTCTCCTATAAGTTCATTTACTTTTGTCACCCACTGTATGTATGTATATATCCACACACAAATACGATACATTCCCTAAGAAGCATGCTTGCATTCATCTCCTCATGACTATTTCTCCTACTTGAGATTTGGACGCACGCAATGCTAAGTACTCGGTATTGTATTTTCATTTAATTTTTTGTGTATTTCTTGTACATACATATGTATGTATGTAGGTATATACACATGTACTACATACTCGTACATATGTATATGCTGCATATCTGCATAGAATTTCAGTATGCAGTTCTCTCAAAGTGTTCTCGTCGGTCCTGGCGTACCTATTCAACAATGAATCTTAGACCCCTTTCAGAGACGTCAAGTCTTGCTTTCAAGTCTGCTCGGATCGTAGGCGAAGGAGGTGAGAAAAGTACATTCGTCTCACCTCCTTCGCCTACGAACGAGCAGACTTGAAATCAAGACTTGACGTGTCTGAAAGGGGTCTTACATTTCTGGTGATTTTTTTGGTGCTGCTGTTGCTATCACTTTCGTCTGTATTTTGCTGTTGTTGTTGTTGTTGTTTTCCTTCAAGTAGCGATATCAATATTAAGTCGCTATCTCTAATTTTTCTACATATGCAGCACGTTTTTGAAAAGAAACTATGTACATACATAAGTGACAAAATAAGTGCAACGAAACAGAAATTTGTGTAAAGTGAAGCAAATAAATATTTTAAACAAATTTGTGTGTATTAAAAATACCTACAAATAACGAAAGCATAAATTAATGCATTTGATTAAATCGCATTTTATGAAACTGGCAAATTGCATGCAATATGTGTAAAGCGTTAAAAATCTGTGTGCTTGTGTTCAAAAATTAAATTCTAAAATAAAAATCTAAAGAAAGTATAATAAAAAAAAGCAAAGAAGTTGAATAAAACAAAATCTTCGCAAAAAGTGGAAGTACTCATATATACATTAAATGTTTATAGAATAGCAAATTCAGCTTCGATGTCGCAGAATTTACACATAGAAGAAACCGCTGATTGCAGTACATAAATACGAAGGTTTGTATGATTTTTTGGTAAATATTTAATGTACAGTTGTCGCCCTTGTAAGACGTGTGTGACTATATTTAACTAAGACAAAATTTTTTAGTCAGTATACATACCTGATTGATTAAGTATGCAGTTTTATAGCCCATTAAATTTTAATTTAATAAGGTGCATGTTTCAAGTAACTAAGAATTATGGTTGCTTTTTACAATTTTTTTTTTTGTTGATTTTCTTTCACATATACATACATATGTATATATCTGTGTTCGTATGGAATAGTAGCTTATGTCGAAAGGCTGGCTTTAGTATAATGCGGCATTCGCAGCATACGATTGCGAATGACTCACTGGCGTCGAGCCATTGAAGAACTTTTGGCAAATAAATATGCAGGAAATAGTTCCGATACTAGCAAGACAATATTCTTATTAGTCTCATCAAAAAATTACTTGTTGTTTAAAGAATAAAGGGAATGCCGCATTATACTAAAGCCAGCCTTTCGATATAAGCTACTTTTCCATACGAACACTGATATATATGTAAAATGTGCTCGAAATGTAAGAAAAAAAAATATTAAAAACCTACGCAATTTCTTAACTGCTTGAAACTTGCACTTTTTTATATTGAACCTGAAAATAAAAAAAAGCATTTGGTGAATTTTTTTACAGCATTTCAAATATTTCTTGTGCAAGTTTATTGCTACTTTCTCTGCACTTTGCACTAAAAAATTTAGTATAAACAAATAAAAATGAAAAGAGGCTCCTTAGCTTCTTAAGAATTTAATTACCTTTCAACGACCAAAAAAAAATTTAAGATCTATCAAGAATCCTAGGCTATAGACCTTTTTAACCGACTTCAAAAAAAGGAGGAGATTATCAATTCGTCGGAATATTTTTTTTTATGTATGTTACCGCATAACTTTGGACCACGTCCACCGATTTCGATTATTCTTTTTGCATCGGAAAGGTAGTGTCTCAGAGGTGGTCCCATACTAATGTAGTTTACGTCCGATCGATGGATCATGAAAAAATTAACGCCACTCCTAAATTTTTGTATGAGAATTTAAGTCGGTTTTGTTTTTGCTTAAAAATTACTTGTTGAATAGTAAATTTTTCGTCTGCTCCATGATCATCTTCACGATATCCGTACTGTGGCAACGTGGAAACTGAAAAGGCAGTGCTTGATGGTCTGAAAAGAATAACTAGAAGAAAGAATAAATCCCTGAAAGATTATTACCAAACTCAGTTATGCCAACCATATTAATACCCCTTCCTACCAGTTGTACATTTCTATGATTTCGCAGGAAATTTCTTGCCAAAACGGCGATCGCTGATGATGGGATCAGAAGATTCTCACTGTAGAGTCTTATTTAGGTTGGAGTTCCAACTAAGTCTCTTATCGAGCTTGATACCCTGATTTTGAACTCGTCAGAGAATTCAAGTTGCACGCCATCCTGGAATGACATGTGTATGGACTATTAATGGTTTTTTTACTAAAACATATTTAACATTTTTTTGACTTTTTTTAAGTTAACTTCGCGCGCTTTTGTCTGCTATAAATACTTCCTGCATTCACGGTTGCCACTTGTTTAAAAAATAACCAACCAAAATTTGATAAAAAACAACCAAATTAAAAAAAACCATATATTTTTTCTCGTATCTATTACAAAAAGCAAAATTTAAAGCAGTGTCACACGATTTGGCATTTGCCAAAAATTTGGTGAAAATCGTATCCCAATCGTGTGAATGCACAAATATTTTTCGCTATCCCAATCACGAAAAATAATTTGTTAAAAATTTTCAATAGAAGTTCGCTGTATTGTACCAATAGCTCAATTTAAAAAATGTACAATTCTGTACAAATATTTCAATCGTGTGGCACTGCGTTTATTACAAAAAAAAAAATATTGAAATACTTGTGCGTTCAATCACATTTGTATTTACTTTTTATATATAAAATAACCAACAGTGGCATTATTTTTAAATTGCACATTTTTGTCTTTCGTTTTTGGGCTCGAAATGAATTGGTATCCAACAGCAGAGAACCACCGCCATTTGAGCATCACCCACGCAGTAGCGTATTATGCAGCTGTAAATTTGGAGAGGGAGAAAAAGAGAGTGTGTATGAATGAGTACACCACTCAGCACATCTGCAATTCGTTTACATTCGGCATTGCAGTGAGCGCATGCTGAGTTAAGGCTCCGTTATGCATACTTGGCATTGCTTGAGAGTTGTCACATAAGGAATCTGTTAAATGAGCTTCGCGTGTAAGCGGTTACCCAACGCACAGCATTACATACGTAAAAGTCTGTTGGTTTTTGATTTCTACGTAAAAATGGTATAGCAGTGCATGCAATGCCAAGTATGCATAACAGAGCCTTTACAGTACTTGATACAATGCATGAATGTAAATACGTACATATGCATGTACATATATTAAGGCTCTGTTATGCATACTTGGCATTGCATGCACTGCTATACCATTTTTACGTAGAAATCAAAAACCAACAGACTTTTACGTATGTAATGCTGTGCGTTGGGTAATCGCTTACACGCGAAGCTCATTTAACAGATTCCTTATGTGACAACTCTCAAGCAATGCCAAGTATGCATAACAGAGCCTTTAGACCATACCACCTAACAAGCAAACAAAAAGGTTCGCCGTATACTCCCGACTCTAAAGTAAATATAAAATATTCTTTTGCAAGACAATTACGGGTTTTTTGCCAAAGCTAGCGGTTGGGTTTTTAAACTTTTCGGCGACACCTACATTCGGCAATAACAATTTTTTTTTTAAATAGTTCTACTGGAATAATTAAAATAATTTCTTAGCAAAAGTTTAATGATATTTGATGAGGTTTTATTTAAGTTAGCGTCGTAGGCACAGAGATCTGGTGGGGCAGTACTACAACGGGGTACTTGAGATGTATGAACTTTGGAACAGTTGTGGCAGAAATGAAGACCAATCTTTAAAATGAAGACTTATTTTCGAATAAGTTAGAAAAAATCTTAAACTGAAGATATTAAAATTAAACTAAAATTCCAGATAGGGGCGAATCCGAGAAATAGTCAACCAAAATCGCAGAAAATGCATGCAATTCGAACACTTTAATTTTTTGTGTCGAAAAAAGGATTAGTACAATATATTCTTATTTCATATTTCTTTTCACACTTATTTGAAAAATCTGATTTGCCCCTCTAAATGGCATTGGTTTTAAGCAAATAATAAAAAGCATTAAGTTTTAATAAAATACAATTTACATAGTTTTAAATAAATCAAACGTCCCTAACGTAACGTCCCGAACGCACATATACAATCGTTTTAAAATTAATCCAACCTTTAGTTTGCTTTTATATCACATTTTGTAAACTTAATTATTTTCTCTTCAAAGTATTTTTGTAGATTGTGCTCTCTATGCACGACAATTTGCGTAAATCGGTTGACTTTGATGGTCATATCAAAATCGCTTCCTTTTTAAAAACTTTAAAAAGGTTTTTTTTTATAATTTTTTTTTTGTATTTTTGAATATTCCATCTTTACTTGGCAGATTTTTCACGAAAATTTTCTGGCAACACGGCAACATAAAACCTTTCCTCTCGAGACGAAAATATGGATATACATATCTTATATTAAAATCCGTCTGTAAATGCGGAATGTATGACGAAAAATATAAAGACAAATTTTTTTGTTTTCGGAATTTCCTTCCAAAAATATTTTCGATGTGAAGGTATATGGCGAACTCTTTTTTCCGGTACGGTCTAATGTACATACATATGCATGTATTTAAAGTGCATACATACATAAATGCTGGTATCTAAAGAGCGAAATACACCACACAAGCGGTTTGACAAACCAAGCGAAATTTCCCTTTGCTTCAAGGGAAATTTCGCTTGGTTTGTCAAACCGCTTGTGTGGTGTATTTCGCTCTTAATGCATCTGTAAACTGAAAATATACTTACTGCCGAGGAGGGTGTGGCACATCATTTATAGTATATTTTTGCGTATTCCTAATTTCTTGCGAATTTCGTCGGTGTGTTTTTAAAATTGTCTCTTCAACTTTTCGACTATTTCTGAGCATTTGTAAAGATAATATTTACTCGTATTTACTATTCTGAAGGAAACCCCATAAATTCGCTTGCCAAGCAGCTTCCAAATTTATCGTCGCCAGCAGGTTTTTTATTAATATTTTTTCCTTATTTCTTTCAGCCTTTCGCACATGTTTCTTCATTTATTTCGTCTGCTTTTTAGTTAGCGCTTTTTACGCGCATTTCAGTATGTTTTCTTTCATTCCATTTTGTCACACATTCATTTTTTCACATATCTTATTTTTCGGCTGCTTTTTGTGGTTAGACGTAGTGACACATAAAACGTTGGTTTACTCATTTTTCTTGTTTGGTGTTGTCATTTTTGTTGCTGCTGCTTGTGTTCCACTTTTGTCTCCCTTTTGTTGGCGCGCTCATTTTGGCACCTACTATTAACCCGCCATCGCCAGCGCCAACACCATCGCCATAAAAAAAAAAATTAAATATAAATATAAATCGGTCTGCCCGACTGACCAGCGGCGAATCGGTAAGACGAGTCCCAGCAAGCAGCCAGTATGGCTGCGAGAATTCAATCAAAAATTCCCCTGCCATATGACCGACCGAACGACCACCACTCAGTCAGTGTGCCAAAGAGAGTGTGTTTGGTGTGGAAGTGTGTAGTGCTGCTCAATAAATAGTGTTGGTATTATGGGGGTTCGGCGGTAGATGCAGGTCGGAGTTCTGTTAACTGTATGCACGTGATTTAGTTTCAGCGCTTCCGTGTCGCTATTCGAAACTGTTCTTGACATTTGCTTTTTATAATTTTTTCATTTTTGTTGCACATCAATACATACATACATATGTACACTAGTTATAGTAGTTTTGTCTGCAGTGCTCTCGCGTTTATCAGCACACCCCACACCCCGTACACCATAGCTGTCTACCTCTTTCTTGCAGTCTATCTTTAGCGTTTTGCAATTGTTGCTGTTGGC